AAACACACACACACAAACACACACACACAAACACACACACACAAACACACACACACAAACACACACACACAAACAGAAACACGCATAGGCTTACAATCACATGCATAATATAAATGAGCAGCAATATAAACACATTTTAATATAATCGTCAGCTAGATAAACACTTTAGTGTGTTGTTGGTCGGCTGGCCCTCTGCACAACTCCTTCCGAATATAATGTTACACAAGTTACCCCTTGCAGTGTACTAGGATTTCAAATCTTACCCCCCAAAAAAAATAAAAATAAAAATAAAATAAAAGAAAAGAAAAGAACCAAAAAAAACCCAACAATCAACCAAAGAAACAACAACAACAACAACAACAACAACAACAACAACAACAACAACAAACCCGTAACAAATAAAAAACAAAACGAAACAAACATTTTATCCGAATCACATTCCGGCCAAGACGAGTTGCGGCAATTTTCCACACATTGCTTCGCTCGGATGCTCTCATAAAAGTTGGTCTTCTCCCGTCACCCATCTCTTAAACTTCAAGTTCGCTTGGTTAAAATGCGTTTTTCTTGGTCTACCTCGACCTCTTTCGCCTTCTTTTTTTTCCCACTGATAGCAAGATGGTCAAGCCTTGTTTGTTGATGGCTTAGGGTTAAGGTTTTCAATTCCACATCAAGCTTAAGTAAGGGTTAAGCTGGAGAGTGGAAAATAGGCTCAACATCTTTAAAGACTATCAAAATGAAGGCAATATGTCAGTGAGTTTCTGGATGTATTTGCTTTTCACTGACATTAGTAGTAGATAGGAATTGTTTCTTTTGACACCCCCACCCTTTTCCCCCTTAAAAAAATAAAAGTATTTAAAGCTATGAGAATGAGATAAAATGAATGTGTGAATGAATACTTTCATATGTACATTAATCGATCAAATGAAATGCAAAAAATATAGGAACAGAGCAAAAGCAATCAAAATGAACAGAACCACAGCATGCTAGCAAAACAACATGAAAAAAAGTGAGATCGATAGCTGTTTAAAAAATTACTAGTTACGATTCTGATGGATAATTATAGATACATGTATTATTCACTCTCTTATCTTACGAAACTTTTACTTTTACGTTTTCTGGCCTTGTGGTGTCAAAGTCTTTTAATAAAAATTTCTTGGAGCTCCTCTTGTAGGGGTATTAGCTTGGAGTAACTATCAATAATTATTATATATAGTCACTGCAAGATTATAAAGCAATTCTCTCATGAAGGGATGTAATAAAAAACATCTAACCTACAATCAGACCCTCTGCAATACTTCCCCTGACAGTGAGTTTTCGGAAATGAGGCGGGATTTCCAGCTGTTTACCAAGGGGCCTCCCCTTTCTGAAGAGCATGGGGCACATGGCGGATACATTTCCCGACTGTCTGGTGTGGACACTAATACCGTGGTGGTCAACGTGTACCAACAGGACGGGCTGGACATACTCAAGGAAAATTTGTTCGTTGTGCTGCTCGACACTGCGGTCTGTTTCTCATGGTTTTTATGATGCTCTCTTTTTTTCTTTTCTTTTGTTGTTGTGGTTCGGAGTGATGTGTGTGTGTGTGTGTGTGTGTGTGTGTGTGTGTGTGTGTGTTTGTGTGTGTGT